GTCTGCACTTGTGTTGCTGCGAATTAATATCGAAATCACTGTAAATACCTATAAATTCTGTGGTGGTTCTTATGGTCTTAAGCTTTTATGAGTCTATATTTATGTTTATATATCTGTATATATATACATATATATATATATATATATCTGTAGCTTTTATATATAATTATATATTCTTAACATATACGAACAAGTGTTGGACAATTAATACCGCATGGAAGACTTATACTGGTTTCTTGCAGAGGCCGTGGAGGCCGTCGACGAGGCCAACGTGTTGCAGCAGATCGGTTCACACAACTCACGGCCTTACACGATGGCACAGTCGATTCTCGCAGATGCCGATTGTCCCACTCGCGACAGCAGTGCCGGCTGTCCGAGCGGGACAGGCTGGGGCAGGGGCTCTCTTTCGTTTATAATAGTTTATGATGTTGTCTTGTCCGTCAGGCCAAGGACTCCAGCATTGTGGGCACCTCGAGGCTGGCAAGTCCGGGTACGCATTGCTGATTGTTCGACATGCCCAGGATAACGGCGAGCAGCAAGTTCACAATGAAGATCTGGATGCCATGAAAGAGGCCACGAATGATGCACAAGATTCACGAAGCGTGATCAAACTAGGATGCCTCTTAAGGTTCGACCTTCCATGGGTTCCGTTTATGTGTCCGGGGTTACCCTTTTGGTTCCTCGTGGTCGAAGCTTCGTCGAGTCGACCGACACATGTCCAGCACGGCGGCAGGCGAGCCAAGAGTAGAGACGCGTGTGGTGAATGCCATGAAGAATGTCAGCGCATGGAGGGTTCACACGTCTACGTTTAGAGCTTCACGGATAAGGAGTTTTGGCTGTTTGGTGTAGATCCGAAGCTTCGGTTTAAATGAAGCTCTGTAATATTGAGGCTATTGCCGAAGACAACAAAGCCCCACCGGCTACAGCTTCATCGCATCCAACTTCCACAGCATCTCCGGTCAGATTGAGTTTGGTCGTGTCGAACTGTCGAAGCATCGAAGATGTGTTTCTTCAAGATCGTTGTTGCACCAAGCAGCGGTGCGGCATGAAGGTTGAACATCTTGTGAAGGGTTAGATTAGCAGCAAACTCCATTGCCAAACCCTCATCCACGCTGCAAGGTCTATTCCATCCTGCGGGAGTGTCAACTCCGGTTTTTTTCGCGAACCCTTCATCCGCCCATTCCGAAGCATCATGGAATCCCCGTATCGCTGCCATCGCTTTCATCATTCTGCCAGGGACAACAGGATTCCCAATTCAAACTCATTAACCTTGCACCGCCGTTGACATTCTTAAGCACCGCTGCCTGTACGAGCGTAGCTGTAGTTTGGAATTGAAAACCTCATCAACTGCCGACAGTCAGAAAGTCAGCACCCTTCTTTACAATAGTTTCTGCTTTGTGTCCATAAGTGATAGTAGTGGTGGTCATGGTAGTGGTAGTAGTAGTAGTAGTAGTAGTAGCAGCATCAGCAGCAGCAGTAGCACGATTACTAGCACTAGTACAAATACTAGTGCTAATAAACTGCTGGCCAACAGGATAGGCAAACCTTGTCCAATAGAAAACCATTGTCGAATAGGAAAGCCATAAGTTGATGGAAACCCTATCTAGTAACAAAACTCAACCTCTTAGAAGGCTCTATCTAGCAATCAGACCCTTACTTGAACGACCGCAGTATGCTGGCTGTGGAGCTTGCGGTAAGTAACAGTGACCCAGGTCAGAACGTGTCTAGGACCTTACGATAATTAAAGGGTGTGGAGGGGGGCGGGTGCCCCCCCTCCGTCTCCAACACGCAACTAGCAGGGGGACCACAAGGTCCAGTACCAGTGTACACGGTTGGGGAGGGGGTTGCTCCCTCAAGGTCAATCTGTTTAAGCAACATGGATTAACATGCCCATTGAAGGAGTTGCGACATTACGATTGTGCAGTTTGTTCATTGACATTGCTTGACCTCTTCATGTTATCAATTTGTCTATTTACCCAGGTTTAGTGCATCGATGAGATTGTGTCAAGCACCATAGGTGCATTGGTTGTCTACACATCTTTAGAGTGCTGACCTGGCAGATTCAAGCACCACGGCATTTGCCCCGTGTCTTTGCACGGCCAAGTGCCGTCTGTGTGCTTGAGCTCATTTTGCCGAGCATGCGTGTAGCAATGTGCGAGTTCTGATAACTCTGCTTGGTTTGTTTGCCCCAGCTTCCGCGGCCGTCTTCTCGAATTTAGAGTCCCAGTAGTGCTAGCTTAATATGGATAGTAGTCGCAGCTGCAGCAGCAGAAGGAGCAGCAAGAGTACCGCGGCAGCAGCGGTACAAGCAAGAGGAGTAGTAGTAGTAGTAGTAGTAGTACTACTACTACTACTACTACTACTACTACTACTAGTACTATCAGTACTAGCTACCAATACTAGTAAACGTGGTGGTAGTGGCGGTGCTGCTGCTACTGCTGCTGCGACGGCATTCTCAATTAGAGCACGACCACGACTTTTGCCAACCCATCGTCAGTCACTGGCCTGCCTTATTCAAGTCATGATAATATGCTGAAATTGGCGCGAGGCTGGTCCGCAGCTGGAGAACAGCCTCAACTCCTTCTTCCTTTCCGAAGCCACCGTGGAAGACAACGTAACTTGCCTTCTCAATTGTACTGTCCTGTCTACCTGGCAGTCCACACAGAATGCCACCTTGCTGTAGTTTGTTTTGCTTGTGCTCTATTCGGGACCGAACAGAGAGCGGGCAACAGCCAGACCTGATGAACCAACGAACTTGTGTCAATAGTTGATGCAGAACCGCTGCCTAGCACCTCCATGCTCTAACTGGTGGTCTCGTATCAGACAGAATTCTACCCAGTTCCATATCAGTCCAGCTATGCTTTCAGGAGGTAAGGGTGATGGACAAGACCGGTACCCGAAAGTTCTTCGAGGATCTCTTGCTATCCGACTATGGGCACAGATCTCAGCTGTCGGCAGAATGCCATCATCCAGCCTGAAGAGCTTTCACAACCAAAGCCAAAAAGCACCATGCCAAGATCTGACATCTGTTGTCAGATAGCAGTGTGCTCCGATGTCAGCCCAGGTGGCAAAAAGAACTCAGGATGATAATTCTGGACAGGCGGATGTGGGCGTGTTCCTGGTCAAGTTTCGTCTCAAACAAGTTGGTCTCATCAATAATCTTTGCAGGCTCTACGAAGACACCCTGGAGATGCAGAAGGACCTCCGCGAACTGCATGTTTTGTTACATTCTTCTTTGCACAGCTATGCTGACTTGAGGAGCAAGGAGGATCCGGCAAGGGACTGACATTTCGATCTCTGAAAGCTGCTCGGATAAAAGCTTGCTGCATGATGTGACTTGCGCTTGGCAACACAACCAGTATGCATCAATGTGCGATCTGGCCAGCGTGGCAGTTGTTTGGGGTCGAGAGCACGGCACTGCATATTATCCATGGCACCTTCTGCATGCCGAGATGTTTGAATTCTGGTCGGTTTAATTTAACACCATTGTTTCCGCCTGGGTGTTTGACTGCGCGCAGACCGCTTGTTCTTCTTTCTGTCATGTACTGCAAGACTGTTAATCAGGGAGTTCACTGCGGCTGTTCTGCACCATAAAGCTTAGAGCTGTCCGATAGTATGATGAAACTGAGGTGGTACTTCACAGAATGCTCCGGGACCATGCAGAGACATGGATGGATGGCCTCAGGCTTGGCACGGAGTTTTGCAAGCACAACAGTCATGATCACTCTACGGCCTTCATCCTGCTTGGTAGTTGTAGAGTTTGCTAGAGCCAACCCCCTTTCGAGTGTCTAGGCGCACACTACCTCCGTGCAAAGTAGATGTATCAATGGAGAACATGGACGTAAGTGGTCTGCCAGTTGAGAACTTAAAGCTGTCCAGATCAGAGCTTTGGGTGGTCCAAATCTGAAACAAAACCAGTCGAGTACTCGAATCGTCAACTTCTTGTGTCAAAGCCTGGGTGAGGCTTGCAAGTCAAATGGCTTCAGGGAAACAAGCAGATGTAGGACGTAGCATGCGATTCTCATGGAGAGCTTCGGTGGCTCGTGTCTTACCGCACAATGACTCACAGCAGCCTGCTATCCTTTGGAGGTGCAACGTTATATCATTTACTATGTAGCCCGACATCACTCGACACTGCTTCACAAGCCCGATCGCGCAGAGACTGAATCACCGAGAAGTCAAGACATGTGTTAACATGTTGACACTAGGTGCCAAAGGTGCACTATGCTTTTTTTTGGTCCACGAACGTAGTTCAGACAGTGAACACGGCAGACGACGAATGAGAAGAGCATATCTGTCGAAGCTGAGCTGAGACTTTTAAGTCAGCGAACAGCGACAATGACGGCAAGCTGTAGTATGTCCAGGCAGTCAATGGACCGGATAGCGAAGAAGGCGGGCTGACGTAATATGCACAGCCGTTTGCGTCTGTGTGCCTTTGGTTTGGGCCGCTACCAATACGTCGAGAAGCGAAGTCCATTGCAGAGTTTTCCTGCCAAGTTGCACCTTGCACTTGTGTCGATGGCCAAGCCGTTCAGAATTACACAGCACTTGTGTCACTGCTAAAAACTGCTAGTTTGGCCGGGGCATTGCGTAGGTCAGCCTCTGAGCATGTCTCGCAGAGGCCTCGAAGGCCAGAGCTGGCAAGGGCGGACGGTGAGAGGCATCGGATACTCGACTGTACAGGAGCTGGACATGTAAATGGAAGTGCTTTCAGTGCTTCGTGGTTATGGTAGCAGTTCATGACAAGGAGATAAAGCTTACAGTATTCGCTAATTCGTTTAAACGCCCTTCGACTGTGCCCAAAGGGCCGTGCGAGTGTGGGCATGCAAAAGCAGGAGATGCCAAAGGCATCCAAGGCAAGAGCACGCTTGCCCACGTGCTCAGTGTTGTCCCCGCTACGGTGGCAAAAAGATGTCACAAAAAGATTTGAAGCTGCCTATGAAGCACGCGCGAGCGGTCTTCTACATCGCATTGCAGCCTGTGGGATTTGTATGGGTTTGTAGAGTTGATGAAAAAGTCCAAACTTTTTGTGGTTTTCGAGATGCATGTCGTTCTGTGATAACACAAGTCGCCCCGTTCAGCTCATCTTGTCGTTCAATGCCATTCACCTGCACTTGCCCTGCAACTACTCTCGAAGAATGGGAAATTCACAAAAAGCTGATACCAGCTTCCGGTGAATGCAACATCAGCTGTGGAAGGCCTTTACGACTAACATCTTTCCAGATTCTAGACAGACCGGCATCATGAAACAGGCTTCGGCAGCTCAAGTCTTTTGGTTTCTCTACGTTTGTTACTATCCGGGTTCTACAGATATGTCAAATGCTGTGGTTGTGTCCGCATTTGTTGATGCTTAAGTTCAGGTCGGCTTCATGCTGCAAGATCTGGACACTGAGGTTGAGAGCTGCGACTTGCGGGGCATGCGGCTCGACTTGTGGCAGCGGAGAGCGGATTCATGAACGGATAGAGCAGACAACACCTAATGTGCCCAACTGGATCATGTCTTGATCGGTGATGGTATCAGCAAGCCATTGGGTTCTTTGGCAGCACCAACACCCGCCCAATCTTGAAGCCATGGTTCCCTGAACTCTTTGTCACCTGTCTCAGGAGCGATTCTTTTACATTCTTGTTTAGAACAAGTCTGCAGCATCGGTCGATGTTCTACGAGCTGCTGGCAGGATTTTCCACTCCCAAAGGGAGTGTTCGTGGTATGCATCCAGGCACAGTAGTCAGTAGTCTACATGCAAACTATCGGTTTCAAGTCTGTCGCGCATTTATGTCAGCCTTAGTTTCAAGAATCAGGATCCATGGATCTGGACGGGAAGGCAAAAGTGCACGGACATTCCGTCAAAGGGCCATGTTTGCAAGCCCGGAGTGGTCGTTAATCATGCGAGGAGCATTTCGCTGAAAGCTAACCCAGAGCCACCATGGCCGCACGGTGCTTCACTCCTTTTCCTCGTATATTTGCAGGGCATGTTGCCGACGGCCATGGTGAGACGGTTTAGCACGGCATCTGTGAAGGCAGGGTGCTTGCTGCGTGCTGGGACCTGATGCAAATCTGCGAATTGAGCAGGCAACGCCAACAGCAGAGCCAGAAGATGAACTGGACAGACGGAGACCGCAGCTGAAAAAGTCGAAATCCTGGGCCGATGGTCTGGCGCCTCCGCCTCCTCCAGTGCCGAAGCTCGCCATACCAATTCGTCCGAAGTCCAGCAGCTCTCGGAGAATAGAGCCTTCGCAGGACTTTCTGCATTGCCAAGAAAACCGGGTTGACTGCTGAAGAGAGTGAGAGGGCAGGTAGGCTTTTGGCTCAATGGCAGGATGCTTTCATCAACAGCGACGATCCTGCAGGTGATTCATCACCTAAAGCTAAGGAGACCAATCGGATTAGTTGGCTGAGTCATGCTGGGTTCAGTTCTCTTTGCTGCCAGTCAGCATGTGTGTGTGCCAGGAAAAAACCAAAAAAAGTATGCTGCCGTCCTGGATGAGACATTTGATTGACAAGGAAGTTGACTGAGTCTACCTGGGTTGTCAAAGTGATCCCGTCTAAGTTCATCTGCAGGCAAATGACATCATGCGCCCTGCAGCCAAAGAGTACTTCCGGGACACAACAGACTACACAAAGAGACTTGGTCTCGCGGCCGGCCTGCACTCACACTGCTTCGTGGTACACGCGTCACAGCTGGAAACAGCCAAGGATCGATCCGAAGTTGAGGGCCTCATGCAGTCTGGCATGCAGGCTGGCGATGGTCACCAGTTGCGATGCCTTGCACAGTTTGAGACTCCCTGGAGGCCCGGCGGAACTCGCTAACTCCAGCAGCGCGCCTGCCTCGCAGCCGTAGACCGGATGCATCTAGAATCGAGACTCCTAGACACTGCGCACAGCCACCATACTCTCGTGTGAAGCTGAAAAGTCTTGCATCATCGAGGAACGGTGGCCTCCTTCGATTCGCAGGACACACTGCGGGAGAGAGAGCAACAGAATTCAGGAGCAAGCAGGACCATGTAGGATCAGGTTAGAGTAGTATTTACAGTGATTAACAGGTGTTTACACTTTACAGCATGTCTTGGGGCCGGGCGAGTCTGCGGAACGTCGAGTGCACTCAAGTCATTTAAGACAGCCGTGCTGGCTTGCCTTGGGAATCGTTGACATCAGAGTTTGAGCCTAGGCCTTGATTCACATGTGTCAAGACTCGTCAACGAAGGTTGGACAGGGCAGACTTGTGTTCGCCAGCACGAACAACTCACGAATTGTAAGCGCCTACATTGATGAGGAATCCTTGCCGCCTTCGCGCCAAGCTGTCGACATGCCTTCGGATCAGAAGGCATCTTCAGCGTACAACGACATAGAAGCGCTGGCGCTGACCATTCAGCTGCTTTTTTTGGTTGTGGGCAGTCGCACGTGAGATCAGACTTGTTGGCCACGACTGAGAGGTTCGCAGGGACTCCCATGTCGGAGCATCAAGTCGCCGAATGTCGTCAACACCGGCGCCACGAATCATTCGCAGCCGCAGCTCGCAGCAGTAGTGCGTCCGTGGAAAACATCCCGAGCTAAGAAGTGCCAAAGTAGTCGTTTGCCACCACCAGCGTGAGCATCGGTGAAGGCACAGTGGCATCACTGGCGACTCTGGATTCTCAGGACCAAGATTGCGATGTGTGAGGGCTGTAAGGACACAGCTGATTATGCCCGCAGCAGGATCTCAAGAGCCTGCAGAAGGACGCCCGGCCGGCTTCCTCAACGAGTCGGATCTGCGTGTTTCACCCACCGCGACTTTACCCGAGGCGCGTTCGTCGCCAGCGCGGAGGTTCCGACAGATAGCCTGGCACCCAGCTTCCACAACCCTAACCCTGATTACTGATGTGTTGTTGACATCGGTAGCATTGTAGCCTAGCTGAAGCTGCCGCATGTTTCTTGAGTGTAGTCGACATTATGTTTGGTGGCACATCCCATTGGCTTTCACAGACTGAAGACAGACCTACCTGCTTGTCCAACATCTAGTCTCTATCTCTCTTCGGTTGGCTTGCTGTACTTCCACATCTTCCCTAGACCTAGCCACCTTGTAGTTTCTCTTCTTCTGAGAACTCGAAACTAGATCTACAGTGTGCACTTTTGCAAAGCATAGGCCAGCCAATGCCGGCTGAGAAGAAATAGAGGCGTAGCTCTGATTAGCGTGGCTTCGCTTGTGCGGTGCTCTCGGCCTATGCACATTTTATTGGCCAGTGCAAAAGGCCCAGATTGTTTCTTGGAATGCGAGGGCACAAGCGCTAGTGTTTTTTGTACAGGCATCACTGTTTCACAAGTCATGCAGCCCAGCAGGAGTGACACTAAATGCTCTTTGTTGCAGCATCGCAACAGTCCAGTGTGGCACTGCTACATAGCACACGGCGATCAGCGCACGGAGCCCCAGTCTGTGCTCAATTTAGCAAGCGATAGGTAGCGACACGGAATGTGTGAACACCAAACACGTCCTGCAGTGATGCCGAAGTGATACAGAATGATGTTTATCTCACAGTAGGTGCTTGTTTACTCCATCGGCAGCGGTGTATTTGAACCATGGCTGCCCCTCACACTACAACATGACACGTTGCCTTATGGTCAGCAGCTAGCCGGAGACTCGGTGGGTGCCATGTTGTCGTGACACTTTCTGAATTGAGTACACGGTTTAGGGTTTGGGGTTTAGGGTTTAGGGTTCAGCAGCTCCGGATCGAGTATAGCTACATTCACGATCTAGACAACCCTAAACCCTAAACCCTAAACAATTTAGGGT